CTTTTAGCAAACACTTTCATGAAAAGAAAACTAAGTTAAAAGACGTGGCTTCGAATTTTTGCGGACACTAGACTTGAAATCAATGTTTCTTGTTTCTTAAAAATCTGTAAAAGATGCTCATAAAGCAACAAAGTAGGCCTGGGTGACTAGAAGCTCACAGTAATAAAATAAATTGTACAAATTCATAAGAAAACCCTGCATACTATTTTTTCAGATTTGAAAAAGGGCTTTAAAAGTGCTTCTTTGTAGCAGTATTTGGGAACTTCATGTTTATAAACAAAAACTTGGAAGCGCCCTCTACTACGAATACAAACACTAATTCATGCAACAGAACCATAATAGAAACATATAATTGCCTTTTGCGTCAACGAATTTTCGAGCAGCTTAGATTCCGGATAGATGATTCCGGTACCGGAATCGGAATCGGCAACTCCGATTCCGATTCCGATCCGAAAAAAAGTTTTCCTTGCCGATTCCGATACGATTCCTAAATTGTTAAAGCCGATTCCGATACGGTTCCAGTTCCAAAAAAAGTCGATTTTGCCCATGCCTAGTTATGTTTATTGATTCCTCTAATACAAAAAGAAATCATAAAAACAATAAATCCGTTTGACTAATAGAGATACCCATATATTTATATAGTGGGAAAAATTCAAAATTTCAGTGAACACTTTTTCTTCATAATTTATATATGGTTCGATAAAGCTCAAAAAACTATCTAAGAAAATGTATTTTTCAATTCATTTTCCTATTTTGTAAATATTAAAAACCTCAAAATACTAAAATCATTTTATACGAAATCGTCCTAGTGACAGTATGATCTCGGTCTTGTAAGGTTTTTAAACCTTATAAAATAGGAAAATTACTTTAAAAGTACATTTACTTACACAGTTTTTCTTAGCTCTATCCAACCATATATAAATCATGGAGAAAAAGTGTTAACTGAAATGTTGAGTGTTCTCCACCTTACGCATATATCATAGAAATGATAGATAATTTAGATTGATAATTTCATTCTAACTGAACGCAATCAACTGTTTAAATCAATCAGTTATACTCTTATGGCAATCTGTTAGTAATTAATAAAGAATACATTAAATATAGTTTATAGTGGTTTTTGCCTAAGAAACTACTCTATGGAAATATTTTTTCATAGATATAAAAAATACAAAAAACGTCATCGCGTTACGTAAAATTATTATAAAACAGAATCTTTCTCTGGGAAAAATAGGTGTATTAGATAGCTCATAAAAAACTAGCTTTAGATATATATTTTTGCCAAAAAAAATAAACACCGACAAATGAAAAAAAAAACAATACTAATTTTTCGTTACGCGATGACGTTATAAAGTGGGTAGTTTTAGATAAACTCGTTACAAAAAAGTATAACAAATACAAAATCATTTGTTATGTCAAAAAACACATCTGCTATCATAGTCTTGATCAGCCTTAATCAACTTTGTTGATTTCAAACTGCTTCGATATATGGGTTAGGTTCGTTAGCGGTCTAAATAGAAGAATTTTCTATAACTGTGAGTGATATATCTGTTACAAATTACCAAATACACCTTGACATAGTTATTAATGGAACAAAATATATTTCCCTACACTTTAGACCATGCTCTACAAGGTGGTGACAATGAATTTCATATATGATGAATTCAAACTTCCGGTCTTGAAGTTACGCGTTACGCGCTCAAGCTGATATAGACAATAATTATTTTCTTTATTATTATTATTTATTTAGCTAATACATATATATCATTAATTGATGAAGATTTATTATATGATGTACATCAATTTGGTATATTAACATTATGGTCTCTATTAACAACACTTATTTATACAAATACAAAATATTTTAATTTAAAAACTGTTGAATCACATATAGCTATATCATTTGCAAATTTTGGTAAATATTCTCAATGGGTACGTTTATCAACAACTTCACCACAAGGACAACAACTGAATTATTTAAGATTTTATGCTCATAATCCTGGTAAATGAATGTTTGTTTTTTAATAAAGATCTGAAATCATTAGCAAATTCACCAAGTGTTTATGAAATAACTGAACAAATTAATGATCCTGTACGATGTCCAATAAAACAATATGATTTTTATGTTTCAAAATCGTAAATTTAATTTATTTTTAAATTATATTATATTTGTAATTTATTTTAGTCCTGAACAAAGTACGTGGTACAGCTAATGTTTTTTCTTTACATCCAATCACTGAACAAATTCCTGAAAATTCACTTTGGTTTTCACATGAACCATAATCACCAACAATAATCGATCAAATTCTTAATCGTCTTAAACTTCTACCTAATTTTTATACTCAAACAAAACCTGTTGAAACAGGTCCAACACCATCAACTGGTCAAATTAATTCAACAACATCATCGTCAACAACAACAACAAACATTAGTTAGTTTATTATTAGTTCATTTATTTGCTTGTAATGTTCGTTGTTGAGCGCAACCGCACACGTTTGTACAGTTGATTTTTTGTCACTTTTTTTCCTATCTGTTTGTTCAAAATGTTAGACCGTGTGTGTGCGCGTTGTTGTATTTTTTGTTTCATTAATAAAGAAAACAAAACAAATAATAAATGAATTGGACGTTTTCTTTCAAGTATTCAGTAATATAAACTCATTAATTACGAAAGGTTTGATGAAAAATGAAATTTTTCTGTTTTATTATTAATAACAGAAAGGAATATTTTATTCATGCATATAAAAAATAAAGATAGCCACAAATAAATGATAATATTCATAGATCTTTACTGTTGTCGTCATTCGAATTTATACAGTTTACATTTAGAATGAATGATTATAAACAATAAAAGCGATAAGTACAAATGCAGTTTAAACGGGTTTAGTGGAAAATATCGAAAAGAAAGATATTTGTAAAATACTAATTTACATCGTCTCATTCATCATTGTTTCTTGTCAAATCAAATGATCTGTGGAGAAAGTATATATAACAACTCACTTTGAATGTAATGATAAACACCATACCTTCATTCTCATCCTCCCACGCTCGTCGTATTCCTATTCTCATGATTCAAAAAATTTCAGAGTTTTCGACTGGAATCAACTGTATGCCATTCACCTGATTATTATGAAATGACGTTTTTCTACTATCTGAAATCAGTTAATGTAATAGTAAATTTTAATTGCACATTCTTTCGTAAATACGAAGCAACTGATGGAAGATGTCTTATTCAAATACTGAAAAATATTTTTTTCGATATTCATTAACAATGTGTGTTATAAATCTTTGCGAATAATCTCAGATTTTATATCCTATTAACCCTTTACCCCCCAATGGGTCATATATGACCCATTTGTAGACATGATCACAGAAAATAAAGAAAGCATGAGACTGAAAACTCCCAAGATATTATTTGTATGGAATTTCACAAGCTACCAATTGGTAAAAGAAATATTTTGTTTCATTGCTCTGCCTTCGAGATATATGACTTACAAAATCGATAATTTTGAAAAAAATGCAAAAATTCGAAATTTTATAAACAAAATGTTCTCTACTTGCAATCGATAGAGGTCTTTTGGAGTTTCTGTGCGATATTAATCGATGAAGAAGTCCACTGCTGAATTTGATGCGTTTCGAAAGCTTCATGATAACTCCGCGAATTATGCATACTAAGGAACACCATTGACCATGTTGTCACTGTTAGACAGATGGAGGCTAATCAAGAACAAAGTTAATATATGCGTTATAGACCTCAACTCATGAGAAGTCAAAATAATATTTATGATGAATTAAATTCCTTCAGACGTTACAAAATGGCTCTGAGTAAAATAGGCTTAAATTTGACAATAGGTGTAAAAAAAGCATGTATTCGTTGATGTTAATTTTTATCGGTTTATTCGTTGCGCTTTTCCTATCACTTCAACAGTATGAGATAGATGCTGCTTCTGTCCAGTCAATAATGTGGTCAAAGAAAAAAAAATTAAGTCTTATGATGTCGTTCAATTCCCATTTTCCACCACATGATTTTTACATCAATCAAACCACCCTACTCCAGGAACAGGACATTCAGTGGATTAGGCCACACCATTGGCATATTTGACAACCTAATACTCTATTCATAAAGTTATTTCATCAGTGGCTCTTCTGGAACCGCTATGGGGGTAAAGGGTTAAGTAAATATGTTAATTATGTTAATTATGTTAATTATGTTAATATTAACAGATGTTATTAGTGAATGAATAAAAATGAGATATAAAAACAAAATGACATGTCTTTTTTTGTTTCGATTATGTACACATTATTAGTCGATATACAAGTAAATACGAAATAGTTTTATTTACCGAATAAAAAAATATACCTAAATGATTTGTCAATATGTCATTATAAAATTAAACATGTTACTATATATCAACAAAATGGTTGGATGTCAATCTATGAAATTTATTTTTTTTTTGTTTGATGTAATAATTGTTGCCGATTTATTTTGGCTTCATTTGATTGATGATCTACATTAGGAGTTTATTTTAATGGTTCAGTCAATATTTTCTTTACGAATGGAAAAATTTGTTTTGTTCGATATAAGCAAAGAAAAAGTCATGTACGAATATATATATGATGTTTCATGTTTTTATCAAAGAAGTCAACAAAAATGAAAGAAAATCTACATAAAATAAAAATACAAATCAAAGTGAATAGCTTTTTCGACATGAAATAGATGTAAAATAAGAAATTAAGCAGTAGAATAAAATTTTGAAAGACTGACTGCATGCATGGCATTCGTTATTTTATCGGTAATATACTAAAAAAGAAGAAAAGCTTTAAAAAAAAATAAAATAAAGTATTTTACTCGAGCTTCACATATATTTCGATATTTGATCATTTTATCATAAGAACGTGTTAAATCAAATGTTCCAATTTTGTTTGATTCCTTAAAAATACAAAAAATTAAATATTTTTATTTTTATTTTTATTAAATTACTTTTATAAGAATTTGTATTTCATCTAAATTTGGTTTTATAGCTGGTTCTTCTTTTAAATTTTCATATTCAATTTGCCAATCAATTTCATATAAATCAAAAAATGAGATTTCAGTTACAAATAATAAACGTCTAAAATTAAAATAATTTATTTAAACAAAATCATAAATTCAATTTATACTTTGATGTAGCCATTAACCGAGATGGTGGATTTTCTGAACAAGTTATATGTGCAATATAAGTATCTGATTTCGCATATTTTCTTTCTTTCAATTTCTACGATGTCGCAAAGAAAAAGAAAAAATTAATAATTTTTAAAAGAAAGATAAATTTTACATTTAAAATGAAAAAGCTCATAGCTTCATGAGCAATATATGGTCGAAGAAAACATGTTCTTGTTTCGGTTCGAATAACTTTGGATTTATTTAAACTTATATAAAGCATTTCTTCTTCAGTTATAGAATTAACAAGTGATAATCCATTATCATGAAAACCAATTTGAGCAGGTTGACCTGATTGAGCTAATGATGACATCTGTGTCCATCGAAATGGATTATTTAATAGAAAAAAAAAAACTTAAGAGACTTACTGCAGAAGCTGCTTCAATAATTTCTCGATCATCAGCAACGAGTAAAATAGTATGAGCACCAACAACAAATATAGTATAACTCAGATTACAATCACCATCTTTTCCAAGAAAACCACATTGAGACTATTTGAACAAAAAAAATTAAAAGATTTTCTTTTTGGAATATACAATTTTTTGTGCAAAATAGATAAAAAGAGACCTGTATTATATTAATATTGAAGGCTTTTCGATTTAATAGAGAACTTTCCTGTTGCTAAAATAATCTTTCTGACGTGTCAGTTTAGTCATGATCAGTTAATCATAAAAAGTAGCTGTCTTAACTTGATCTAGTCGATAGTTTGATGATACTAAGATTCAAACACTATACTTTCGACGGGTATAACAAACGTCATAATCATTAGATTATAGTGACTACATGTAACAGACTAGCTGAACGTAAGATATCTTGAGAAGAATTTTCACTTTTTGTTTTTAATAGTATCGCATGTTATTGAAATGGACCAAAATTAATGATTTGATAGTTGGACATTAAGCTATTGTATGACCATTATTCTATGACTGTCCGGTCATTCAATTAACGAAAAACGCACATTATTTTCATTGCTTTGTTGCGATTTTACAGCTCATTTAGTATCAAATCTTCGACTTAAATCTTCTTTTTAACAAAATTGAACCCGTCGTCTCACTCATGTTTATTGCTCTTACGAACAAAGATGCTGCATAAGATGTATTCTAAAAGTTTATTAAGCTGGAGATTATCTGTAGAATAAAAAATTTTCTTTGATTTCTAACAAAGAACTCATTTTAGTTAAAAAAATTCTATTATTTATGATTTTCTCAAATAAAAATAAATTCAATTTTCTTACCGTTAGTTCCAATTTTGTTTTCTTCAAACCACATGAAATAACTAATTCTTTTGATTTTGATGGATCTAACCATGCATAATAAACATAATTTTGTGGTGGTAAAATTTGTGTTCGTCTATTATTTTGAAAAAAATATCAAATTATATTTGAAAGATCAAAATAACTTACACATTATTAATTGAAGAAAACGAAACAGAATCATTTTTTAAACAATTAACAACAAGAAGAGGTGCATCATCAATTTTATAATCGCCAAAAATAACTCTTAAACCATCAAAATTAGTTGCTGATATTTCTACATAAATTACTGGTCGTTCTTTATCATTCATAGGTAAAAGTGTTCTATATTTTTCATTCATCATAAATGGACTTGATGTTGCACAATTGTGTTTGTAACGAACACACATTATACCATCTTTTATATTATGTAACCAAAATGGAATTATCTTGAAAACATTAATACATAATAGAAAATAGAAAATAAATCTGTTTTTTACTTATTTAGGATTAATTGATTTCCATTTATCTTGTTCTGTATCTGATATTGTTTCGACAACTTCAAGTTCAACCTTAGAAAAAACCATTTTATTTTAAATAACAAAAAAGTTTTTAAACATACAGTTGATTTATTAATAATAACTATTGATGGTGAAAATGTAATAATCTTTGTTAAACCAAATGAAGATGTTAAAAAATCCACACAAATCTATATTAGAAACTTTTATTTTGTTGTTAAATTTTATTTATTTACCATGTATACTCGATCATTTGGTACTTTACAAGATACCATACTAGTACTCTTAGTAATATCAAGTGAAAATTTTTCTGACCAAATCGTTGTATTATTTTCGTTATCAATATCATAAAGACGAAGTTGTCCCTGTGTCTAATAATCAAGAAAGTCTTTCTTTTATTTTATATTTAATAATTACTTTTTTGTTTGGTTCACTTTCAAAATTTTCTAGACAAAATAAAAGTGGTATCTCAGTCATTTCAATAAATGTACGATTATTTTCAATCTATTCAAAATAAATAAAGAATATATAATAGAAAAAAAGAAAATTCTTTACTTGAAGTTCAAGTTGTAATTCTGTACGATTAATAATCCAAAATGGTGAATATAAGAATAAACGATATGATTCATGCAATGTATCAACACGTAAAATCATATTCTATTTAAATACAAATTGTTATTAGATGTTTTATTTTTATTATTTACCAATGTTTGTTTAGGATTAGAAGAAGTAGAATCGTGAAAGATAATAAAACGTTCATTATAATGACAATTCTGTTCAACTTTTAAATCGATTGATTCTGAGATCCATTTAATTTTGTGATAAGATGGAATCTAAATATTCGAAACGACATTTTATTTCCAAGAATAAAAAAAGACAAAGTAATTTACCATGAAAATTAATGTGGAATATTTATCGCCAAATGCAATTTCATTTAGTTGTCTTGGTTTTATATCAACTTGTTCGACATTCTAAATAAATAAAATAATGAATTTTTAGTTTTTTCAGATCAATAAAGCAAGAGAAAAGTGCTTATAAGACCTTATATCATGTGCATTTTTCTCCGAAAAATTATAGATTTTCTCAAGCTGAAATATTTTAAACTAGCAATACAAATGAAAATTAAAACTATGACGAATTCTTTGATTGAATATATGATATAAATTATTAAATAAAAAGTTGGCATGAATACTAATAATATTTTCTATCGTTAGTTATTTCTAATTTCATATCCAACGAATTAAAATAAGACTTTTCACTTACATCAAATAAACATTGAATATCAATTGGTAATAGATTAGTTATATGAAGAACTGGATGAAGATAAAGATCAACACTAGTTTCATTAAGTTGATCATCATTTTCCGAATTACATTCAAATGAATCTTTATAATCCTAAATATCCAAATGATTAAAATTTAATTTTAATGAAAACCTATGC